GATAGTTTAGCTTTAGTATAGTATTATATATATTGTACTACTGTTTTCCAAAATTGGATGAATAAATGCAACTTTTGTAGTCTGATTAGAGGCAAAAAAAAATAAAATAAATAAATAAATTTTAGAATTTTTGTTTTTTTATATTTCTTAAATAGTACCAAAAAAGTACAGAAGTTGGGCCTCTTTATGAAAGCCTTGTGTTAAATTCTTCTTAGCAAGAAAGATGTATGTCATGCTATAAATATTGTATCTTGTTTTGTAAGTGAAAGTATAATAAATTTAATAAAATATAATAACTATTTGCTCTTTTTTTTTAAAAAAAAAAGAAACAAAAACCTATTAAATAAATTTGTTCTTAATATTCTTATTATTAATATACTGTATATTTAAATTTTTATTTTAATTTTCAGGTATTTATTAAATTACAAATAAAAACATAAATTAAAATAAATTATAATTTATTTTTATATTTAATATAAAAATTATATAAGTTTTAGATTTTATATAAAATTTCCTTTATACAGATAATTGTTATAAATTGTATTAATACTGTTACTTGTTAAAAAATTATAAAGCATTAAATTTCGTATTTTGATTAAGTTTTAAATTCATATTTCAATTAAGTTTTAAATTGTTAAATTGTTAAAATTATAAAAAATGTATTTTGGTAAAATGTCAAGCACTGTAACACAATCCGAATTACATTTCATGTACAACAAACAAGATACGGTAGTTTATCCAATGACCGAATCAAAAATACCAAATCTCTATTGCTAAAAAATAATATTTTTTTTTTTTTGGAAAATAGTACTTTGATCTTTCAACATAATTCAAAGTTCCAACTGAAGTTTTGGTCTGTCTTCGAGGCCAACGAGAATGTCTTAATTAAAACAACGATTTGGTTGGTGTTCACGACTCTTTGCCCGTGTTTGCGTCTAATATAGTTTCTGATCTGATTTATAGTGATAACGAATGCATGCCACTTTCTTTAATCTGTTCGTCCTGTCATATATATCTTATATATACATAGTCCTATTTCATATATTCGCATTTAAATTTCCTTTTTCTATATTATAATATTTATTTCAAATATTCTTGTGACAGCACAACCCCGTTAAGTTTATTCCACGTTTCTCAAGTCCCGTGGTTCCTGGCCTCATTTCTTTTCTCTACTCTTTCTTTTGTAATTTCGATCTCGACATTTTTAACTTAATTGTCTGTGCAGAATATTTCGCACTTGACAAATAATGTCAAATAGCTTGTCCCAAAACATGGTAGGAATTTTTAAATATAACAGAAGTGATGTGTGTAATCGGGGTTGATACTTACTAATTATTAAAACAAAATTCGAATCTTAACCATTATTGATTGAACCTCAATGAATGTCACAGCCCTCCTTTGCCACATCTTCTTCCGAGATATCGTCTAAGACACAGAACATGACCGTCGAAGATTCTACTGTGACAAATTCGAATGTAGCAGCTGATGCAAAAAAAATAGTATTGTTGAAGCGAAATCCGAGCACTACTATTAATAACAGTAATCCGCAAACCAGTGTTGGAAATAATACACTTATCTCTTCAATCGATTTAACGCAAACTCCTTGTAGATCCAATTCATCATCACCAAATCTTGACAATGAATTGACGCCTGAAAACAGCGAAAATTCGAGTGAGGTAGATTTCAACACTGGTCTAGATGGATTTTTGTTGGCAGCACTCAAAAATCCAAAAGATAGATTATTTCTCTTGAAGTTAGACCGAGAAATGGAAAGGTTCATCAACGATAAAAAGTATGTATTTACACATTATCATCTATGTTTTATACACTCGTTCAGCCTAACACATTTCTTTATTTGATCCTTTATTTAGCCATACCCGATTAGAATTTCCTCCAATGAATTCTTATCAGCGTTTAATAGTTCATCGTGTTGCACAATATTTTAAGCTTTCACATGTCGTTGATAACAGTGGAAAGGCTGTTGTTTTATACAAATCGGCCGAAACAAATATGTGAGAATGTTACTAATATTTTATTTCTTTAGGTACATGTATGCATCTATTTATTTATTACATTTTTATTTAGACCGATACTCCGTTTCTCTGACCTTCTTGAACAGGAAGAAGAGAAACCCGAAAAATCTGTCAAAATAATGAGGAGACAGCAGATAGACCCTCAAAAAACTCGATCCACAGGTGATTCTGACAGCAATTCCGAAGGGGAGCGTAAGATTCTAACAATAGAAGAACGTGAGGCCGCATATCAGAAAGCTAGAGCAAGAATTTTCAAGGATTTAGAACAAAAAAACGGAGAAAATGAACAAGATGAAAATGAAGGTGCTGTGTCTTCTACCGCTATAAATCTTAGTGTTTCGAATAACAATAGTAACGAACAACCGAATAGCGAGTCTACATCTTCCAGTAAGACAAAAAATACTGTACAAAAAGTCGCAAATGTTAATAGCAACAACAATAATAAGAACGGTAAACCATCACAACAAGTAAGCAAAACCACCGGAAATAATAAGAATTCAAATAAAAATGGTGCAAATAATGCAAAAAACCGGCAACAACAGCCATCGCGAATGCAACCTTTTAACTACAACCCTTCAATGGATCGCTCAATTTATCTATCAAAGCAAGGCAGACCTATCGGTAATTTTTCTGGTCCACCGCCAATGATGCCTCCAGGTCCGTTTGGTCCTCCATTTTTTAATGGACATGTAAACATGTATGATGTAAACATGGTGCCCATGCAGCCGCCGCCAATTATGCCACCAGAGATGCAAGTATGTCATCCGATGAGTAGTCCATACGTAAATATTCCTCATGAGTGGAATCCAGCGCTTTCTGGCCCTTATAACCGTCCAGGTGTCAGAAATGTATGGGGAACGGAAACATTCAATGCACCTCCGGAAATTGGAGGAAATCCTTCTCTTTTTAATCATCAAAAAAACAATCCGACTTCATTTTTACCACCGCGTCCTTCTGCGCAAAATGAAGTTCGACCTCAAGTTCATAATTTAAAGCACTTGAATCAATATCCACCGCCTCATTATTCGCAGCCTCATGGATCTGCGTATTCAGAAAATAATCATCTAATTAATTCTCCCGTTTCACCTATGGAAAGCAAATCAAACAAATCGCCCTCTGCTTCACCGAGTTCTCCTATGTCGCAGTCTGGATTTGATAGTAATAATTCCATTTGGGCAAATAAAAGTCAATGGAACAATGTTCCCAGTGGAGAGGATAGTAAATTAAACAATGAACGTCAGTTAGATCAAAAACGTCCAAACAATAGATCGTCCACATTTGTCCCTCCATCTCAACAACGTGAAGTTCCGGTAATATATTAATGTCCTCAAGAGATTCATTTGATTTAGTTCATTGTATTTCACACCTTTAACATTCTTTCCGATTGATTTATAATGTATAGTTTTTTAATCCTGTTTGGAATAACTCTTCTGATTCTCCTGCGATGAACATTTTCAATTCATCTCAGGCCTCGGCAGAATACCCTACGCAGAATACACCGGGAGTGCCACTCATACCTCAAATGTATCCTACGATCGTACAACCAATCTCGGGTCCAAATACAGGCCCTCGTCGTAATAACGGCGGAAATCATATAATTCCAGGGCCGATTTCGCCAGAATATGTTAACAATGTACAGCGTTTTGGGATGGCGCCTCCACCAATGGTAGGGTTTCCAGCTCAATCCACATCTTCAAATGTAACTGGCGCTATAAGACCTCCAAAGTCAACCGAGTTATTTGATCCAAACAATCCTTCGGCACTTTCAACTCAAAACACAAATTTATCTGCTATTGCATCTGTGCAATCATCCGTTTCACAACCATTATCTACTTCAAACTCAGCACCTTCGTCATCAAGATCCACCTCACATGCACCGTCATCAAAGTCAAACTCTGCGTCCGGTAATAAAACACCATCGTCTTCGCCTTGGACAGGACCATCAGCTGGGAACAAAGCAGCATCTTTAACCCAAAACCAAAATAATAACAATTCCCGTAGAAAGAATGCAACCGAATCTTCCAGTAATTCGAATAATAATGCTATTGTGGATGGTACCATGATGCGATCACTGAGTATTTCTTCAAACAGCTCCCAACAAAGTAGGACACACCATCGTCCACCTTCCACCCCTCCATCCGGAAATGGAAAAAAGAAAGAAAGCGGACTTTTGTTTGATTACTCCATGCAAGTACCATACGAAGGAGTTAAACCGAGTGAGGGTAAAAATTACATTTATAGGATGTTCATTGTACTCCTACATTATTTATTCAATTTATTTTATTATAGCTAATGAACCACCACAACCAAGTCACATCATAGAACTTTATGATTTTTCTGAATCCGATAACCTCATGGATATTTCGTTTTCGAATGCAAAGATTAAACAAATTGGACCGCCTCCTAATTCCTCTGATAAACGGCCAACAATCCTTGCTATCTTTAAGAATTCGCGTGAAGCCAATAAAGCGATGCAAAACTATAGGGGAGTAAGGTTTAAAATCAAAACGTGGGAGCTTTTGGTGAAAAATGGGGGAAACGTGAGTCCACTGATATCAGTTGGTGAACAATCGTCTAACTCATCATTAACATCACCCCCAACATTATCATTATCAAATAAAACGAACATTGAAGACAGTTATGAAAGGCATCATCAAGAATTGATGAATGCTACTCATGGTTTGCCATTGAATGGAAAACAATGATTCAATACTTCAAATCTTAAATAATCGAAAAAATATTCCTCAAAATTTTCTTAAACTACACGATAATTAATTTGATCTAAACTTCCTTTTGTATTTAGAATTTAAAATACGTGGGCTTCTAAATTTGAGAAATTCCAGATTTTGGCAGTTTATATAGTAAAATAATTTCTATTCTGTTGTAGTGTCTTTTTATTCTGTATAATGTGCCGTGATTTCGTGTTTATTTATATTGTATGTTCGTACAATCAAATAATTGTGATTCATTTAAAATGTCTATTTAATATTTATAAATGGTTTTTTCTGTATCACTGCGACAGTATATCAAATCGAAACTAGAGAACTTCAACTAGCTCGAGTGATCCAAAAGGTTAGTCATTTATTAAAATGTAAGATAGACTAATAAAATTGAGTTTAATGATATTTTATATCAATATAAATTAGCAGTGAGTCGATTATTATTTAAGAGATATTATAAAAATATTTTGGATTATATATTAATGCCAAAATAAATGTATTTCTTGAAATAATAAGTTTTATTTCAAGCAAAAAATTTCATGTTTTTATTGAAATAAAATACAAATAAAATTACTATTAAATAATATTTATTTTGAATTTGATAATTACAATATAATTATTATATTAAAAATCTTAATTTTATTGATTAATTACAATTATGTATTTTTCAAAAAAAATTTTTTATAACAAATTTAAATTACTTAATTATGTATAAATATAATAAAATTTAAGATTTATTTATTTATAAAAAAAAAAAAAAACTCTTTCCCACTCCTTCTTTTATGCTTGAAAATTTTCTTTTTAGAAAACTTTTGAGTTGTTTACTTTTTTTCGCTTTTCTTTTTTTCTCTCTTTTTACTTTCCTTCTCTCATATTTCTTTATTTCCCTTTTCCTATTCTCTCCCCTCTCTTCTATATACTTTCTTATTTACTCCATCCCTTCCTCTCTTCTTTTTCCTTTCCTTATTAAAGTTGGATTTTCTCTTTTTCCTGAAGGTTTTCTTTCTAGAATTCTCTCTCCTTTATAAACTCCACTTTTTATAACATCACTCCTCTAGCCAGTTGGCTTCCTTTTTTCAAAACCATATTCAGAAGTAATAACTTTTCTCAAGATGTGGACTTTGGAATTTTTTTTTCTTTTATGGTTTTACAGAAAAAGGATGGATGGTTTACTTTTTCCAAAAGATTGGCACGGTTATTATTACTAAATCTAATGTTGTTTACTTGTTAATGGTTAAACTAAATATATCTAAGAAACCGGTATACAACTATTATTATCTAAAAGTATCCAAGAAGTAGCACTCCACTGTATTTAGAAAAATATGGCAGCTAATGCTAATACAGCTAACAATAAGCTAGGTTAGTTTTCAGATATCATGCTGGTGATTGAAGAATTTAATAGGATAATATATGAAGACTAGAGATTTTAGTTACTCCCATAACATGAGCTAGTAACAATAATGAAAGTTTCTCGCTTACCTCTTCGACAATATAGACTTATTGTACAAGGTTAAATATCAACATCTTTAAGAAAATCCAACTCTACTATACGTTCGACACCTTTCTTAACAAACCACCATCTTATATCCAAACCTATTCTCTATACTCTCCAATTTCATTTTATCCTAAAATCAAAATATATCCTCCAAAGCTACTTTGACAGTGAAATTAATTGTTGCCTCTTAGCCTATAGTTCTAATGATAGGTTTCAAAATGAAAGGTCGATACTAGGTAAAAATGGTGAAAGATTAATGTTGCCAAGGGGCTGCATTGGTATTAAAAATGATTACTGCCCTTCAGTCTTTAATTCTAGTGATGGATTCAAATGAAGGATTAATGTTAAGTGCAAATAGTGAAAGATCTACTTTATTTTGGTATATTTGGCATTAGTATAGCTTGGAACCAACTTTTGCCCCACTTGTCGTATATCAAGCTACAGTTGAAAAACAAATGTATCAATTCTAGTTATGACATGGAAGCCAACCTGTATATAGTGGCTTATACATGTTGCTGAAATTCGTAGATCTTTGATGCAATTGACACAATTATTTGATGCAATTAATTGAGTCACTATTAAAACATATAAATAATTGAGTCATG